GTACAATTGTTCAACAGCTACACATAAAAATCAATTGATTTGCTCTTTCCTTAAGCAAACGTCACTTTCATTGTCCAAAGAATATATATGTCTCTTGTTTCTCATGGTGATGATAATATGCTGATGAGCGCAACCGGATCTCTTTTCCAGCAGTAACGTTTTCGCCCACTTAAATCGCTCGATCTTTATCTCTTTTTCATCTCATTCATATGTGCGCTCCCCTCTGTACTCTAGCACTCTTGAATTGGCTCATTTTAGTGCCGGTGCTACACTTGCTTTATAGTATCAGCATGAAATGGAGTTCCTAATGAAAAAGGAAAGAAATGGTGGATCATCTGAGTGAAACAATCATTTTCGAGATAAGAATCATGCAGCGTTATCATTAATTAAGCTATCATTGAAAATTCTCATTCACAGTCTTAAGAGCTGATATTGTAACAGAAAAATTGCCTATTTGGTAGTAGCCTAAGTAGGTACTGAACCAATTAAACACTCAAAATAACAGAAGATTCTCGTGCAATGTTTAACCGTATTGGTCTCCAACCCGTTTGATGGATGACAAATTGACAGTCGTATTTTCTATAACTTTATAACCATGCTTCACAGCAGCTTAAGGAGCTACTAATGCAGGAGAAAAACCTTACCAGCATCCACGTTTCAACTTATCTTAGTACCTAACATAATATGAGAAGATTAACAAATCAATTAGGAGATTCACTAGTGACTTTATTACAATCGCGGGGAATTCAGGAAACTTGCTAATATATGTATGAGGATAACTACATCGTAGCTGTCGTTTTCTGTTTTTCATTTCTTTTATTAATTACTTTAGCACTTATTAAGAAGACCTCCTCTCGTTCATAGATTATGTAAATAGCAAAAAGACATAATCAATGGCGAGCAAAATCTAAAGGAAATGCAATTTGAGAACCCCAACTAACATGTACAACAGAACTTGGGAGTAAGAAGGGACGCAAAGTGGTGGATCAAATATCTCAAACTAGTACACACTGCAAGCAAATAGCAATGACAAATTCTTATAAAACACGAATGCTTTGAGGCTTCATTCCCAATAAACTCAACGCAGCATCATGATCCCTGAAACTACTGAAGTTTCCTTGTTACTGATTGTTAGTTATTAGTTGGTTATGCAGCCTCAGCAGAACTAGCGATGGTTATTGACAGTTCGTGCCGGTAAAGCGTTCAGGTTGGAAATCCTCTGACATGGTAGAGTCTAATGTCAAGCTCACCGTCTTTTTCTGTCTTGGTTCCATGAAATAAGTTCATCAAAATAACCTCAAAGTAGTAGATGGTGCAGAAGACAACAGTCCTATACTGAAATCAATACAAGATGTGACAGAAGGAAACTTTCTTCGTACTTGGAGTAGGAACTTCATCAGATGACTTAAGGTAAATAGTTGGTTTAATCAAGTAAACAGAGATGATGACATCATCAGATGCATTCTCAGGCTAATTGTAGGACCAGAATTTCTTCTGAAGTTTCTCAACAAACTTCTCATCCACCTGGAACCCTTTGGCTAGAACCTCGGGGGAAATAGGCGGCTTTGCGCTAAACAGTGCATTGGCTACAGTGATGACTCCTGGGTTTTGGCTGCTTAGAGCGGCAATCATGACTACGTTGGTCTTTTCAACATTGAGCTGGAAGTGAATCATCCCAATCGGGAAAACAAAAACATCTCCAGGGAGGACTCTCTCAAAGAAAGTACTGTTCAGTTGGTCGGACGTGACAAAGCCTACATAGAGTGTGCCCTCCAGGACGAGCAAAATCTCGGTGCCACGAGGGTGAGTGTGCGGAGGATTTAAACCACCTATTCCAAAGTCAATACGAGCCATGGAAATGCCGAGAATATTGAGTCCTGGTAGCTGGTCCGCAAACACGGGTGACCGTGGAGCCCAACAGATTGGCCGTGCTTCTAGGAACTTGGAGGCCAGAAAAGAGGAAGTCGTTTGCTGTGGTAAGAGTGGGGTTCTTGCAGAACTTTCCATTCACAAACACTGCATAGAGAGGAGTTTCTGTTCGGAGGAAATTTTTGCTGACATATACCTTTGAGGCACATCCGAGGATACAATAAGGTCGCACCAAGAAAAATATTATCTTTTTGTTTAACTTAATTGTCTTGTTTTCTGTTAGATTAGTGTACCCAATGTCTTGTTCAAAAAATTGATCGCAATGCTAACGAGCTTTCCCAGCACGCCAATTAAGAATATCAGTCTTAAAGGAGGAATACTCTGAAATCAAGAGCAAATGTATAAATTCGGAGTGTTCTACCATGCAAGGGAAAGAAGAGCTTACAAGCATTGTTGGGTTCGTTGACTGCCACACAGATGTCCTGCAGGGGACTTGGGTCGTAGGCGTCGGCAAAGGACAGCACCAGGGCCAAGAGTGCGAGGCTAGCGGGAAGTTGAAAACTCCTCGTCATTTTGGTTTTTTTCTGTCTTTTTTTTCTACTCTCGAGTGCTCCGATGAATGCGAACGCTTGCTTCGAAATGATGCCTATATATAGATGCCAGATCTCATGGACATCTCATATTTTTCTCCACAAAGCACAGAAACATTGCCATAAAGTAACAATTAGTGGTTAAGCCATCGTCTTCTTATATTCAGAGTCAGTACAGTTTTTCCAACAGCTACACGCAAACTCGCTTATCTTTCTCATCCTTGACTAACATCACCTCAATCTCCTAATGGGAAAACAACAGAATAATTGTTTCTGCTTCATATAGCTAGGGTAGTCAACATGCTGATGTTAATGCAATAGAATCTTTTCTAGGTTTGAAGTACTCTGTCACTCTAGCACGCTTGATTTGGGTCATTTCAATGCCGAGTTGCTGATGATACAGATGCTTTGGCATACTAGTACTGACAAGTAACAAATTCATCCTTGTACAGCTCCGAAAATAAAGTGACAAGTTAATAATAATCTCTCGAGATGAGATCTGGGGTATCATAAGCTATGAGAGTCCTATTATTCAATATTCGGCCCCGGTAAGGTTCCAAACATGTAGTTAGGCATCTGACGTCACAACCAAGTATCAGGGCACCATGAGACAGATGAATACGGATCATTATCAATAACTCCGTCACCATGAACTTCAAGGCATGACTCATTGGTAAACAAAGAACGAGTCCGGTAATGCTCAAGGCAATCGATGGCAATATCAGTGTTATATTTTTTGAAAACTTTCAAACTTGTCTGGGCATCTTAAATTCACTGCCAACTCATCTTTTGAGCTCTTTTTTACTTAAATCCAAAATTGTAGGCGATGATCGACGTGGAAAAAGTCATAAAATGTCCGAGACTTTGTACCCTTCAATCGAGCCGTTAGAATTGTGCATGATGCAGAAGAAGATGGTGCAACAGTTTGCAGTAGTTAGAATTGGTTGATTGTATTGTTATTAGTATTGGGTTTTGAATGATTAATTGAAGTACTAGTAGTACTAATGCCCTACAATACTGAATAAAGTAGAAATCATATATCATTTTCAATTTCCTAACACTTGACCAGTCCATAACTAAATGTCACTATTCAACTTTAGAAACAACTCATTTATGGAAATGCATGTAGTGATTCTCATCGTCTGACTATTATGATGGATGACATTACATTTACGAAATCAAGTTTCTATTATCGCTATGACCAAGGTTTGTAACAAAGCCGTACCAACCAGTTTTCGGTCTTCGACTAACTTATACTCTGGACCACTTAAATCGCTCGACCTTTTCTCTTTTTCATCTCATGCATATATGCGCTCCCCTCTGTACTCTAGCACTCTTGAATTGGCTCATTTTAGTGCTGGTGCTATACTTTCTTTATAGTATCAGCATGAAATGGAGTTCCTAATGAAAAAGGACAGAAATGGTGGATCATCTGAGTGAAACAATCATTTTCAAGATAAGAATCGTGCAGCGTTCATTAAAAAGTCTCATCCATGGAACCTTTTGCCTTCTAAAATTTCAGAGTTCAGTCTAGGATATGAAATTGTAACAGATAAATTGCCTATTTGGTAGTAGCCTAAGTAGGTACAGCACCAATTAAACACTCAAATGAAATCAGGACTGGCGGAACCTTAATATAGCATCTGCTGACAACAACAGAATATGCTGAGTAGGCTGAGAAAGAATAGTCAATGTGCTTCAACTAGAAGAAGAGGAATGGTTGCACCAAGAAGATGGGATTAGTTAGTGTCAATTTTCTTCTCTTTTCTGTTTGAAGTACTTACAGTTTTTAGTTGTCTGGTCACATATAGTATTGATACCTTGGAAAACTGATTGAAGTAGAGAATTTTAAGGTTTCCCCAGTTCCTAACACTTGACCAACAACCTTAATAATCATCCATAACTAATTACTTTCTAGGGCCAGCATCCATGTAAACAATTTATTTCACGGATATACCCTTATGATTCTGATCATTGTTCAGCAATAATGCTAAATGAACTTGCTAATATATGTATGAGGAAACCTACATCATAGCTGTCATTTTCTGTTTTTCATTTCTTTTATTAGTTACTTTAGCACTCATTAAGAAGACCTCCTCTCGTTCATAGATTATGTACATAGAAAAAGGGAGCAAAATCTAAAGGAAATGCAATTTGAGAAGCCCAACTAACATGTACAACAGACCTTGGAAGAAAAAAGGGACACAAAGTGGTGGATCAAATAATTCAAACTAGTACACACTGCAAGCAAAAGGCAATGACAAATTCTCATAAAACAGGAATGATTTGAGGCTTCATTCCCAATAAACTCAACGCAGCATCATGATCCCTGAAACTACTGAAGTTTCCTTGTTACTGATTGTTAGTTACTAGTTGGTTATGCAGCCTCAGCAGAACTAGCGATGGTTATTGACAGTTCGTGCCAGTAAAGCATTCAGGTTGGAAATCCTCTGACATGGTAGAGTCTAGTGTAGAGCTCACCATCTTTTTCTGTCTTGGTTCCATGAAATAAGTTCATCACAATAACCTCAAAGTAGTAGATGGTGCAGAAAACAACACAGTCTTATTATACTTAAATCAATACAAGATGTGACAGAAGGAAACTTTCTTCATACTTGAACTAGGAACTTCATCAGAAGACTTATGGCAACAGTTTGTATTAATTAAGTACGCAGAGATGATGACATTATCAGATGCATTTCTCAGGCTAATTGTAGTACCAGAACTTCTTCTGAAGTTCCTCAACAAACTTCTCATCCACCTGGAATCCCTTGGCTAGAACCTCAGGGGAAATAGGCGGCTTTGCGTTAAACAATGCATTGGCCACAGTGATGACTCCTGGGTTTTGGCTGCTTAGACCAGCGATTGCGACTGCGTTGGTCTTTCCAACATTGAGCTGGAAGTGAATCATCCCGATCGGGAAAACAAAAACATCTCCAGGGTGGAGGACTTTCTCAAAGAAAGTATTGTTCAGTTGGTTGGACGTGACAAAACCTACATAGAGAGTGCCCTCCAGGACGAGCAAAATCTCGGTGCCACGAGGGTGAGTGTGCGGAGGATTTAAACCACCTATTCCAAAGTCAATACGAGCCATGGAAATGCCGAGAGTGTTGAGTCCTGGTAGCTGGTCCGCAAACACCGGGGTGACTGTGGAGCCCACGGGATTGGCTGTGCTTCTAGGAACTTGGAGGCCAGAAAAGAGGAAGTCATTTGCTGTGCTAAGAGCAGGGTTCTTGCAGAACTTTCCATTCACAAACACTGCATAGAGAGGAGTCTCGTTAAGAGGAAATTGTTGCTGACAAATGCCTTTGAGGCACATCCTAGGATACAATAAGGTCGCACCAAGAATGAGAAATGTTTATCTTTTTGTTGACTTAATTGTCTTGTTTTCTGTGAAATTAGTGTAGTCAATGTCTTGTTCGAAAAAATTGATCGCAATGCCTAACGAGCTTCCCCAGCACACCAATTAAGAGTATCGGTCTTAAAGGAGGACTACTCTGAAATCAAGAGCAAAATGTATTAATTCGGAGTGTTCTACCAAGCAAGGGAAAGAAGAGCTTACAAGCATTGCTGGGTTCGTTGACTGCCACACAGATGTCCTGCAGGGGACTTGGGTCGTAGGCGTCGGCAAAGGACAGCACCAGAGCCAAGAGTGCGAGACTAGCGGAAATCTGAAAACTCCTAGTCATTTTGGTTTTTTTTCTGTCTTTTTTTTCTACTCTCGCGTGCTCTGATGAATGCGAATGCTTGCTTCGAAATGATGCCTATATATAGATGCCAGACCTCATGGACATCTCGTATTTTTCTCCACAAAGCACAAAAACGTTGCCATAAAGTAACAATTAGTGGTTAAGCCATTGTCTTTTTATATTCAGAGTCAGTACAGTTTTTCCAACAGCTACACGCAAAACTCGCTTATCTTTCTCATCCTTGACTAACATCACCTAAATCTCCTAATGGGAAAACAACAGAATAATTGTTTTTGCTTCATATAGCTGGGGTAGTTAACATGCTGATGTTAATGCAATCGAATCTTTTCTAGGTTTGAAGTTCTCTGTGTTAGTGATCTGCCCTAGGAATCAATCAAGGTTGATACTCTAATATTAGTTGTGGATTAGGTTGTGTCGGAAAATTGACCTTCACTATACTTAGGTAGTCATAATGTCTTGCTAGAGACCGCTTATGAATTGTGGGCCAAAAAGGGTTTTGAGCACACTGCTAATGTTTAGTGAACCTACAGGGTCGCACACAAAAGCAAACTGAGTTAATATTTTCTGTGCGCCGGGATCTACTTAAAATAAGAAGTAGATTTTAATTTATTCTCATATTCAATTTATCTACGCGGTCATGCGCGTTATGAGATAACGATTAAATGTACGATTGAAGGTGGACGGTTTGGCGGGCCCAAATCGCCTGGCCCACTTCTTTTAATTCCGCTGGATAATGAGGCTGTATAAATAGATAGAGAATCGTTCTCTGTCTAGGGTTTTTCGATATAGTATCGAAAATCAAAAGGCGTTGAAGAAAATAAACTTTAAGATCTTTAGCTAGCACTTGGATCGTTGGAGACTTCTATTCGCGTGTGTGGATACCGGTAGAGGCGCAACACTTGGGGCGCTAATCCAGACACAATCAATTGTTAATTTACGTTCGATCTGCAAAAGGTATGTATCGAACTTCTCTCTCGATTTCAATATACACATGGATCCTGTCTAGGGTTCTAGGGTTTCGGTTTACATAGATATTCCGCTGCGTTTTTACCGTTGATGAACCCTACGTCGAACCCTACACTCTGTCACTCTAGCACACTTGAATTGGGTCGTTTCAATGCCGAGTTGCTGATGATACAGATGCTGTGGCATACTAGTACTGACAAGTAACAAATTCATCCTTGTACAGCTCCGAAAATAAAGTGACAAGTTAATAATAATCTATCGAGATGAGATCTGGGGTATCAGAAGCTATGAGAGTCCTATTATTCAATCCTTGGCCCAGTAAGGTTCCAAACATGTAGTTAAGCATCTGACGTCACGAGCAGGGCACTGTGAGACAGATGAATACCGATCATCATCAATAACTCCATCACCATGAACTTCTATGCATGACTCATTGGTAAACGAAGAACGAATCTGGTACTGCACGAGGCAATCGATTGCAATATCAGTGTCGCATTCTTGAAAACTTTCAGACTTGTCTGGGCGTCTTAAATTCACTGCTAACTCATCTTTTGAGCTCTTTTTTTACTTAAATCCAAATCTTAGGCGATGATCACCGTGGAAAAGCTGTAAAATGTCCGAGACTTTGTACCCTTCAATCGTGCAGTTAAATCCTCGGTGAGGGTAAGCGTCGAGGAAAGTGCTGGGTAGTCCGACAAATGACATCCGATCTGCTTGAAGGTAAATAAGCCAATGAGGGAATATCAAAGTGGTAAGAAGTTGAATTGTTGTACCAAAAAAGGGTGGAGCAGTTGAAGTTGGTAGTCTGAGAAATGACATCCCATCTGCTTGAAGGTACACATGCCAAATGATGGAATATTAAGGTGGTAAGAAGTTGAATTGTTGTACCAAAAAAGGGGGGAGCAGTTGAAGTTGGTTGACTGTAACGAAATTAAGAATAGTTCATGAAGCTTGTTTGAAGTACTTACTTAAAAAGCATGCTGAAGATTGATTTGTGGAAAGTTTGTGAGCTTCCCCGTTACCTAACACTTGGCCGACAACCGTAACGTGCGCTAACAACCTCCTAAATTATCCGAATCTCATGTTGACTTCAATGGCAAAGGTGCATCTCCATTGGATATCCTTTGACGATTCTCACCATGTAATGACTGATCTGAACGAGGTCACATCTATTTTATTTTGGGGTGATGACACAATCGGTCCCTAAATTTTAGCTTAATATGTAACGTAATTCGTGAACTTTTGATTTATTCACTGTGATCCTTGAATTTTAACTCAATGTGCTGAACTTTAAATTTGTTCAATATAGTTCCTGAATTTTTGGTATATTTTTAATGTAGTTCCTGAACTATATGACACAAATGATCCCTTAACTTTAGCTTAGTGTGCAATATAGTCATTGAATTTTTAATTTGTTAAATGTGGTCTCTAAACTTTTGGTATATGTTCAACTTAGTCCCTAGATTATACAAAAATATCAATGTTGTTTTTGATCTTGAATTAATAGAATGACAATATTAAATATTTTCATATAGTGCAGGGACTATATTGAACATGCACAAAAAGTCCAAGGACCACATTGAATTAATTAAAAATCCAGAAATAATATTGCACATTGGTATAAAGTTCAAAGACCACCAAATTAAAGGTTCAAGGATCACATTACACATTTGGCCAAAATACATAGACCATTTGTGTCATCATCCCAACATTTTCATATAGTTCAGAAACAAATGACAACATTGAATATTTTCACACAATTTAAGGATCGCATTGAACATGTACCAAAAGTCCAGGAACAATTTGCGCCATTTACCCTTCAATTTCGCTCGGCCCGAAACCCTAAATTTCCGACCCGTTCTTAAGATCGGGTCGGATCTTTCGATCCGAATCCCGATCCGCCATCTTCCCCTCAGCGTCGGCCCAATCCATCATTTCTTCCCATAAGGCCTCTCTGCTGTGCTACCAAACCGCCCCTCCCGCCATTTCGACGACCCTCCTCTCCTTTCTTTCTCTCAGTAATTTCATCAAACACCTTCCGCTCCTGCAACTCGCAGGGACGCCATGGATCCGCCTCCAAGCCTCCCTCCCTTCCCCTTCCCTCCCCAAAACCCCGCGCCGCCCGCGCCGCCTCCTCCTCCTCTCGCCGCCGCCGTCTCCTCCCTCGACCGCCTCATCGCCGCCTCGGCTCGAGCCCTAGGCTCCCTCTCCGCCCTGCTCCCGCCGAACCCCCCGGTGGGCTCCGACCTCGCCGCTTGCCCTTCCAACCCCCACCACCGCATGCCTCCCGAATCCCTCTTCCGCCACTACCTCACCTGCCCCGCCCCTCTCGATTTGGGTTCCTCCGTGCAGTCTCTCGGCTACCCGAGAACCTCGGAGTCCTCGGACGACAACCCCCGGTTCGCCGGAGCGGTCGGCGGTCCCGGCAGTGAGCTCTGCCTCGCGCTGGATGGCTACGGCGATTTCAGGTCTAACTTTTTTTACGTGGATTGTCCCGGTGCTGTCGCTTTTCCTATCGAGGATAGTGATAGTAGGAGCACGTTTACATTACCTGGTGTTCTGTCGATCGAATGCGGTAATTTCGGTACTGATGGTGATGTGGGTGTTGAAGAAGTTGAGAATTTGCGCGTTAGTGTTCTGCCCTCGGAGCTGTGGAGCGGTCAGAGAGAAATCGAGGCATGGAGTGATTATCCGAATGGGTATTCGTACAATGTGCTTAGGGTGATTTCGGGGGTGGGGTTGGTTAAAGAGAGTGCTTTGAGGAGATGGGTTATTGTTAATTCTCTGCGATGTGGCGTGGTTATTGATGTGGCTATGGGGGATCATATTTTTGTGCTGTTTGCTCTGTGTTTGAAAGCGATTGTAAGGGAAGGTGTTAGTTTGCTGAAGACAAGGGATTTGAAAGGGAATAAAGGGAGTTCAATTGAGTTTAAGTGTCCCAATTTGATCCAGGTTATGATGTGGTTGGCGTCTCGGCTTTCTGTTTTGTATGGCAAGGTGAATGCAAAGTTCTTTGCTATTGACATGCTTAAGAAGTGCTTAGTGGATGCTGCGTCGCATTTGTTACTGGACTATTTGGAGCAGGAGGATGCATCCACCGATAAAAATGAAAGCACGCATGAAAGAGATGCTGGGGGTATCAAGAAGCAGCTTGATATTGAAGTGGATGGAGTAGATGGAATGGTGGTTGGAAACATCAATAAGAAGGTGATTTTTGTGTCCCAGGTAGCTGCTGCTGTTGCAGCATTGCATGAGAGATTCTTACTTGAAGTAAAAATTACGGCGTTACGGCATTCTCAACAGCCTTCTAGATATCAGCGGTGCGTTGATGCTCTCATTTTCTTTATATATCTTCTTTTACTTTCAGCAGGCGATTCTTATGGAGATCATGGACATAGTAAATAAAACCAGGCTTGACGTGCCATCAAATTTTCTCTCTGGATTGACATATTCAGTGATGATAACTTTAGTGCTCGATAAAGAACTTCTGTTACTTTGATCATTAGTATGGCAACTTGATAATATGACCTGGCCTTTCTTTTCACAAGTCCTGCAAGTCAGAAATTAGAATCTATTTCCAAATGTCTTCCTGCATATGGATGCTTCTGTTTTTTTTTTTTTTTTTTTTTTGGTAAGGATATGGATGCTTCTGTTTAGCTATGCTTCCTTTCAAAATGTGCAGGTGTCATTCCTGTTGGTCAATGATTTAGTCTGTACAGTAACCTTCATTTTCTGCTTAACAGAGACTTTTTAATATATTTTTTATTAGTCTCCTTGGATTATCCTTTGAGGACTTTTCTCTCATGTATAGAATGATCAAGCACGGTGAAATAACCAAGAAAGCCGATGACGAGCGAGAAAAACGTCCTGATTACAAACCTATCATAGACCACGATGGCCTTCCTCGGCAGTGGTCATCTAATCAGGTATATATAAGCAGTTCAAAGTATATTTCCATTGTTTTTGGAAAGAATGGGCAAAGCTGTGCAATGGCTCCTAGCTTTGAAAATTAGGTTCTTTCACCGCCCCAGCCTTCCTTCGCATAATAATATTCTTGTGTGATTAAGGAAACGGGCAAGGCAAAGACTAGAGAGGAACTATTGGCTGAAGAAAGAGATTACAAGCGCAGAAGAATGTCATATCGTGGCAAGAAGTCGAAGCGCAATATTTCTGAGGTAGGCATGCTATCTGTTGGAAGAGCAGAATTTCTGCTAAGTTAAAATTATTTGTCTTGGGATGGTGCAGGAGCTACATTTGAGAATCTGAGAGTTATCCATGATATTAGTACTTGTGCTATTTATTTTTTATTTTCCCTTTTGCTTTCTCCCATAAAGTTTTTCCCTTTGTGGGAACATCCATGCTAATGGCTGAATTTGTTGTCCTTCGACTCTGAAGGTGATGAGAGATATAATAGAGGAATATATGGAGGAAATTAAGCAAGCTGGAGGTATTGGATGCTTCGAGAAAGGTGCTCCTGCTGGGGTTCAATCAAATGAAGTACCTTCATCAGATGCAATTCCTGCAAATGGCACCTTTGAGTTGTGTTATGAACCTGAAGGGTACCCTGTTTATTCTCAGAGAGGATTATGGACTAATCATGAAGTCACATCTACTTCTAATGTCATTGGGGATACTTATTCTGAACATGGGAAGTCCAGAGGAAGGTATTCTCATGAAGATCAACGTAAGAGTACTGGAGTGTACAAGCGTGAGAGACACTATTATTCCCGAAGTCCAGAAAGGAGTGCTCAAAGTCTTTCACATAAGCATACTAGTCGTAGGATAGAAAGAGAAGATGCAGAACTGACTATTGAAAAACATCAAGAGATCAAAAGGTCATACTCTGGTAGATCCTACCGAGGTGAGGACAATTCATCTTCTAGAAGTGATGTAGGTGGGAATGACTGGAGTCGAGACTCCAGAGATAGAAGGTGGCAAGAGACTCGTGGAAGACATAATTCAGACTTCCCGCTTCATGGTTTTGAGGATAGATATGATCCTTATAAGTCAGACGACCTATCTGAAGAGTAGACGTTTGTGCTGGTAAATGAAGTAGCCACTAGAATGAGGTTAATAGTGAAAGGCCAAAGGGAAATAACCTTTTGAAGAAATTTTTACAAGGTTCTCTCCTTGTCAGGTATGTTATTCTAGTCCTTTTGTAGGATCTGGGATTGAATTTTAAACTCTTGTTTTTTGACTTAGTTCATGGGCATTTAATTTGCAGTATGAAGTCATCAGGCTTCCGAGAATTAGATCTACCTCTGTATCCTCCTTTGTATCCTCAATTATCTTTGCTGTTTCTTCGATATTGTTTCATTGGTTTCTATTTTTCTTTTCCTTTCTCCTCAGATAATATCTTGGGTGAAAGATCATGTTAATGATCGTCATACTTTGACTAATCTTTCATTGATTTCTGACCAACTTGAATAGATTAGAAAATTCCCTCACATTTATAACAACTTGATCATTGTTTCAATTAGATTCTTAACAACTTGTCGTGATATTTAACGTCTCAGTGCATGCTGGTAATAGTGTGTATAATGCAAATTTGAGTTGGAGTCTTTCTTTTCTTGGGGGATTTTATAGAGGGGTTGAATAAAGTTGTGGTCGGCTGCTTTTGAACCCTCTTATGGAGCAGAAGTTTATGCAGAACAGTCTCCCTGCAGTTTCCAATCAATTGAAGTTCAAATTTGATGGATCGGATTAGCTCATGGTTTTTGCAGGTTGCTATCATCGTCTACCTCAAAAATGAATTTACAACCCACAAATGCCATGTGGTGCAGCTGCTAAGTTTCTTTGACAGGTGATGCGTAGAAGTTGCAGTGACTAATTTCTTTTCGGATTGAAATTTGATCTTAGAATTGAGGATAAGGGGAGAAACTTGTTAAAGATTTGGACAAATTGAACGGCAGCCATCAGATACTCTAGAAAAGATGATGTTTCTACAATGAGGATACGGGTTAAAAGTATGGAAACCCCTAGAAAGTAGGTAGATCCTCTAAAAGAAGATCTTGACTACTTACATCTTGCTGAGATCAATTTCGTGAGAGCACTCCATGTGGTTGATTTCACTTAATGTGTGTGATAAGACTTGATTCTCGTTGTAATCACTTACTGTTATAGGAACTCGATGTTGTGCACTCGAGCGGATTTATTTTATATTGAGTTGGATGTTATTGTCTATTTACAAAAACTCAATAGGTACCGACGGATCATGCAGCCTTGGATAGACTTGATTATCTGGTTTCCGCAAATTTCTGTATTCTAGGGCTTTAATTTGCTGAGCAGCACCACGAGTTTCGCCCCTGCTTACTCTCCCCACAGCATCTGTCGGGTCGGCCCCTGAAGCATTGCAATGTTCTGCCAATCGGTTCTTGCTGGTTGGGCTTGTGGCTAAAGTCGTGCTCTTCACAAATTGATCAAAAGGGTGATCTATTGTGTGTGTGGGCAATGTCACTGGTGGTAGATGAAGAAACTATGAATTGAGTGAGCAGTTTTGCACTCGGTTGCACGGGAGGGCTTAGTGATATAGTTCAGTGAATCCTCTGTAGTTTCATGTCATTGGGTAAGCTGTTCAGAAAACTCATTGGTGGAGAATCAGTGGTAGTCAAAACCGAAGTTACTTAAGATTTCTTCTGATGACAAAAAAGCTGCCCTTTGTAATCGATGGTATTCGTTTTTTCAACACTCCATTATATCATCACATTATTAACTGTAGAAAAACTAGACAAGAATATTAACATTTTCAAACCGTTGTCTTAGAATTCGATTTCTAGATACGAAAACCGTATACGAAATTACTTTAATCACACTTTTAAAGGAATTGAATAGTGAACCTTTTATGTTCTCGAAACCTTGGTCAGTCTATTCTCAATTTGTCACCTTGCAACTTAAGGATCAAAATTTCAAATTTATGAAATTTCTTTTTCTCCACCAATTATTTAATCCCTCTAGTTTTTCAGTTTTGACCTCTGCTTTGGCAAAATCAGCCAATCCACGTTCGAACAACCGCCGACGGAACATCCTCAACTGTCATCCAATCAGACAATTTGAAGTTTTAAGGAGGAGCAGCCCCACTGACGTCAGCAATTTCTTGGTGCTCCATTTTCATGTCATGATCATCACGACCACATAAAAAAAAAAATTTTGGGCGGTGCATATTCTAACTGAATTCCGCTTACCACTTTTTTCTTTACGAATTCTTTAACTTGTAATTTGCTCTTCTTGAAAAGAAAAGCACAGAAAGAAAGAAGAAACTGCGAAATTATCAAGAAAACGATTCTCAACTGAAACTGCCTGATTACCAGAAAGGAACCGACTCAGAACCGATCACCATCACACAAAGTTCAATCCTTTCTTTGATCTTCCCTCCTTCCCTCACGTACCCAGATTGAGTTTTCGCAAGATTCTCGAGTTCCATCCATCTTTTGTTGCCTCTGTTCTTCGTGGGGTTGTCAAGTTAGAGTGAGTGATGCAAGATGGCAGAAGCAGAGGACCCAGATGGCGGCTCGGCGAAGAGCCCTCATGAGCTAAAGCGCGAAGTTTCCAGGCTGCTGGAGATGATCGCTAAAGAAGACGAGTGCACGTTGGAGACCGTCGACGAAGCGATCAGGACTCTGCAACTTTTCACGGAGTCGAGGTTGAAGACGGCGGAGAAGAAGCCTCGCGGCGGGCGGGGAATTCCAGAAGAGTTCCTCTGTCCCATTTCGAAGAGAGTGATGGTGGACCCAGTTGTTTTGGAGAATGGACTGGTTTGAGTCATTTCCTTGTGTTTGTTCTTTTTCTTTCCTTCTTTTTGGCTCTTTCTATTTCTAGTGACTTTGAGTTGGGTTTAGCTTTAAGTGATGTTTACTGTGGTTTTATAGTGGCTTAGGTTTGACTGCTCTGTCGTGGGTTAACCATTTGAATTATGGACTGTCATGGTCATCCATTGTGAGTTCTGTCTTGTGGGATTAGCGTAATTTAGGAAATTTTGCTCGGACAATCCAGGACTATGCGGTCGCCTATTCGCTCTATGGCGGTTGATAAGTTAAACTAGAGTGGCATTCTTTTCATATTCGATACGGATTACAAATACCAGGCACTTGTTTGGTTTCATTCTCATGTGTGAACCATCTCGATGAGGAGGATCGCCAGAGAGAGCCGGTTTCTCTTTGGAGTTGCATATCTCCTTCTCCATGACCCGTGTAATCAGCAATCCTTTTCTTGAGATACCTTCTTAGCGAAGGTATTGTACTTAGTACTGTTAAGGATTTCACTGATTCTAGGAATGAAAAAGTGAAGCATTGATTAATTGGGATATGGGATTAGTGATATCGCTGGATCTTTTTGGCCTTTATCTGACCTTTTTCTCCTCAACCCTAGGGTTCTTAGTCACAGTTACTTCCAAGTCAGGCCTATTTGAGTGATTACCAGGCTCACATTTTCTTTTTCTATTTTTGTTGTTGTTTGATTTCCTGTTTCCAGACATTCGATCGACTTCCTATTCAGGACTGGCTGAATGAGGGCCACAGGAGATGCCCTCAAACCCTGGAATACCTTCGTGACACTAGACTCACTCCAAATCGTTTGGTCCGGAGATTAATTGCAAAATGTTGCAAGGAGCAAGGAGTTAAGTTACCAAACTTGATGGAAGCTGAAGGGAAGATAGCCGGTGTATGCAACAAAGATTATTTTGAATCACTCCTCGATAGAATGTCCACCTCCCTGGATGATCAGAAAGCGGCTGCTAAAGAATTACGAGATCTGACCAACAGACAAGCCTCATTTCGTGCGTTTTTCGGAGAATCTGCGGGGGCCCTCCAAAAATTGCTAAACCCACTTTCCCCAAACAAGGTGGCAGATGATCCCAGTCTTGAAGAGGATTTGACGGCCATAGTTTTGAATCTCTCAATCATCGATAGCAACAAGGAGCTAATGAAGGATAATCCATTTGTCATATCGTTCCTTGTTGGGTCACTGAACTCCAGGACACATCGAACAAGAAGTATTGCTGCCGCGGCTCTGTCTGAACTAGCGATCCTCGATTTGAACAGGCATCTCATTGGAGAAGCAGGAGCAATCGGTCCTCTGATCAATGTCATCGGAGAAGGGAACATTGTAGCTATCGTCAATGCTTCTTCTGCACTGTCCAAACTGTTTCGTCTTACTGAGAACAGAAAGAATGCCATTCGGGCACGAGCCACCAGTGTGATACTCCAGAGGATAGTGAGACGCATCTGTGTGGATGAAATGATGGGTCTTCTTGCATCATTGTCTTGCGATCAAGATGCGGTTGAGGAGTTGAGGGACTTTGGTGCTGTTCCTCTCTTGCTCACGGTATTGGGTGAAATCAGACCCGAACGATGCAAGGAGAATTGTGTGGCTATTCTGGACGAGATCTGTTCTTATGACCCACACACTGTGAAGCAAATTAGGAAAAACGAGGATGCCAGTGGCCTGCTCTTGAGACTTAGTGTGAGCACCACAGCGACTGCGAGAGCTCAGAGGAAGGCTACTTCCATTGTCAAGAAAATCATGAAAATAGCATCATAAATGATTAGCTCTTTACTCAGCTCATGTACAGTCACTTTTTGTGAATACCATTCTCTCACGGCAGCTTCAAAACCAATTTTTGCTGGATATGTTACATGGATTCTATACAGGTTATAGGAAGTTTTTCCCCATGCAAGGGAGTTTGGTTGAGCAAATACATTGAGAACAGCTTCATTTTTTACATTGAATGTACATGGATTTGACAGAGATTTAATTGATGGCGCAAGTTATTTCTGTTCAACTCTAGTGTTGTTACATAGGAAAATAGTGGACCACATTTTCTTGTCAATTCAATCAGAAAATGCTAGTGTATATCAGCTAGGAAGATTCTTGCATGCCTATGTTTGACTCCTTGGACAATTTGCTATGTTGTCTCATACTTTTCAAGGTTTCTCTCTGATGAAGAATGGAGCTTCTTGGTAAAAAAGAAGATTTTGAGAGCATACTTCAGTGTGTTACATACTTTCTGGTCCCAGTCAGCACCAACCTTGGAGTGTTATTGTCTCACTCTAGTGCTACTTTGTTTATACCTGACATTGACAGACTTCATATTGACATAAGACTCAGGCTACACGAGTGCATTTTTGTATGTCTTTTGTTTAATCAGTCGATAGAATCAATAGAGCCCTGTTTCATCTTACCAAGAACAGAAAGAATGCCATTCAGGCACGAGCCACCAGTGTGGTACTCCAGATGAGAGTGAAACGCATCTGTGTGGAATTGGATGATGGGTCTTCTTGTGTCATTGTCTTGCAATCAACACGCGATTGAGTAATTGAGGGACTTTGGTGCTGTTCCTGTCTTGCTCAAGGTATTAAGGGAAATCAGACCCGAATGATGCAAGGAGAATTGCGTGGCTAATCTGGACGAGATCTGTTCTTATGACTCAAACACTGAAGCAAATTAGGAGCAACGAAGATGCCTCTGGTCTGCTCTTGACACTAAATGCGAGCAGCACAGCAACTGCGAGAGCTCAAAGAAAGGTTACTTCCATTGTCAAGAAAATCACGCAAATAGCATCAGAGAATGACTAGTTCTTCACTCAGCTCATGTACAGTCACCTTTTGTGAATATCATTCTTTTCCCGGCAACTTCAAAACCAAAAATTCAGCCGGATTCAATATGAAAGAGGATTTTAACAGAATACTTCAGTGTGTTACACACTTTCTGGTCCCAGTCGGCATTGAAGGAATGTTATTGTCTTACTCTAGTACTTCTTTTGTCTGTACCATTGACTTCATATTGACATAAGAGTCATGCTACACAAGTGCATGTATCTCTTTTTTTTAGTTTAACCACTCGATATTACCCGACGACATGCCAGATCTAGTGTAACAGGAACATTCAGCAGTTGTCCTTATTAGCACACTCTTTGGTTTAATATTACATCAAACGAGTGACAAATGGGCATCCACGCCTAGACTTCAACGCGAAATCTCAATTTCCTATTACCGACTGATAATGCTCCTTTCTTTTTTTTTTTGCTCCTTTCTTTATACTAAAGATTTTTAGGACTAGTTGCATGGCTAGCATTAAACATCAACTCAAATGATAGCAGCCGCTGTTTGAGGAAATAAGTGCAAGTTTGCCTGAACATTAAGGAAAGAATCCTCTTGTGGGGTTAATTGTCATTAGCAGAGGACTGTTGCGCTTCTAAACTTGAGGCTTATTCGTTATAGAACCGAAGTCCGATCCAATGAGGCACACTTAACTCTTGCTATAGTTCAATTGACGGGTTTTGGTAATCAACACTTATTAAGCCCCGGCGAAGAAAGAATCTAGGCTTTGCATTTTTCATGAGACAAGGGAAGAGGAGTGGCAATAGTGTCAAACTTGACGCTCGGAGGGGCTTGGATGCAGAGTTTTGCGTTAAGTGCCACTGTTGTTTAGTGCTTTATGGGATGTGGGGATCATATTAATCCTTGATCATTTTGATTTTGACCAGCAATGTAATTAAACTATTCTAATTATAAGAAGACTGCTTATACCTTTTATCCTTTCAATTCAGTCAACCAAACCAACCCTTCTGAGAATGAAAGCTTATACCTATGCACTCTAGTTACATCCTCAGAAATGAAAAGGAAGAAACAAAAAGTCATGAACACCCTGGGCAAAAATACTCCTTTTATCCCATGAAAGAAAGGAAGAGATGGACAAGACGAGCACTTTTTAAGATCCAAACAGAGAAGTCTACATCGATATTACCGTGTCTTGACTAGCTATCTCAAATCATACAAAACTCGCGTTTTCGTTTACGGCTGAATGAAATCGGCCCCAAGTTTCAGCCTCAAATGCAGCTAGAGCTGCCAATCTAAACAATGCATGGCGAGTCTTTTTGACAGAGAATCTTGTGAGTCATCTATTGTCAACCTCTAGGCGGTACAAGCTGGGACCAGACACCTTGAGAAAAATCCCAGCACCTTTTTCTGCAGAAGAAAGCCAAAAGAAAACAAACATTTCATCATTAATGTCGACCTTCACAAATGACTTCTGCCAAGACCCAGCGATCAAAACGTATCGAGATCTGCAATAACATGGGCTGAAAAAGGTGCCCATTTGTGAAGCCTTCTTAACAAAAGTATGAGGAAACAAGAAGTGGAACTAACCCTCTTGGTGGTGTGAAGAAGATGAGGAGGGATCTTGTAGAGATCTTCATCAACAGCTTTCGGTTTTGAAGGCTTCGACTTCGTGGGCAACTCAAGACGATCATGATGATGATGGTGATGGGCATTATGTTGTGACCGTGACGTGAGGTGTTGCTTCCTCGGAGGTTCCTTCATCTCGCAAATGACTCTCCCAGTCTTTCTCTGCTCCTTCAGTTGCCCGTTTCGCTTCTCTCTCGTTCTCGCCTGCGACAGATATTCGCACGCAGTTCAGACGCATTTCAATGGCCTGAACAGAGAAAGAGTCGAAGTCCGAACCTTTTTATGAGGAGCCACGGAGCGAGAGAACTTGTGCTCATCATCAGCAGCAGCGACCGCATACAAATCGCCGCTCTTGCGGGCGCGGTCAGACTCTCCGGAAGAAGAGCTGAATCGAAGCAAGCCAGCTTGCCTTGCACACTCAAAGTACTGAGTTATGGGTAGTTCATTTGCATGGTCCCAGTCACCAAATGCTGGTATCTGCCCACTCTTCCTACAGTAATACTCCTGGAAAAAGAATATACCCAAAAAAGAGCAAAAGCAAAAAGAATGTGAGAGATTCTGTGACAATGCAAGAATGTTTCAACAGCAACGACAGAAAGTTCAAGGGTTGTGAAGAATGGTCCCTCACATCCATTCGTGGAGGTTCTTTCACAGCAGAAGAAGAAGAAGAAGAAGAAGCAGAAGCAGAAGCAGAAGCAGTCAAGAAAGGTTGGAACTTTATGAGCTTCGGTCGGGAGAACAGGTTGAACCTCTGGATGTAAGAGAGAGCCTAAAGAAAGTTGTGGGGTTTGAACTTTGATCTTTCATTTTATATTCTGCATTGGATTTTTTTTCTTTTGGAGGGGTCTGAATTAACTTTGAATTTAATGAAAGGCTTGCTTGAGATTGAGGCCCTACTCCTAAGTTCTAAAGGGTGGGTGTAGATTGATGGATAGATGTAACAGAGGGTGAAAAGCTAGGCTGTACTGCTCAAAACAAGAAAGAGAAATCTCCCAAAAGAGTTACAGTAGCCCTCATAAATTAAAGACCAGACCAGACCAGACATCCATGTCCTGAACAAGAGGAGAGAGAGAGAGAGAGAGAGAGCATGTGAAGTTCTTTTTCCAACCTCGTTTCTTTCCTGAGTTCACGGCGCAGACAACAGGAGGAGGTGACCAGAGTTCTACTCAATCCTCAAAACAGTAGCAACATGGACTTGCTTAGGTATGAGTGCAGCTTTTGATCCCCCTAAAAAAAGCGTCCTAATCTTTTTTTGCCATTCAATGGATGTGTGAATAGAAACATGACAGCAGAAAACAAAGAAGCAGCAGAAATAGAAACCTGACAAAGTTTTTGCTGATTCTCTTGATTTTTTTTCTGCAAAATATAAGTCTTACTTTTTTTTTTTCACTTTCAAGATTATCATGAATCTAAAAACCTGTCTAAGTTAGTCGAGTTAGACAGCCAAAATGAACGAACTTAGGAGAGGAGACTATACATCTAAGTTGAGTGCAACCTTGTTTGGCTCAAGACAAATCCTACTCATCCCAATCTAATTCGAAACTCAATTCTCTTATCGAGATAACATGTAGAGGACCATAGGCGACAAAGTTGGATTAGATAGGTCTACTCATTCAAGGAAGTTTACTCCTCAGCCTTTCCGCTCATGTTGCTTCTTATGGTGAGATACAAACAAATCCGATTGAAAATGTGGGGGATAACGTATTCTAGGGAAAAAAATCGTTTTTTGTGAAATTGCATGAAATGGATATTGAAAATGTTTGTCGAAACTCATGGCATACCACATTGATTAAGTCAATTATCCAACATATAAGATTCTCTATGAGATGCAACAGCCGCTTCTAACTTTTCTAAACATTAACATAGTCATTCCAGAAAATCAATCACGCGTAAAATGTTACTAAGTCAACTAATGAACTTCCAATTTGATTAAACAAGTGTTACAACCCTAGCTATAGGATACACTAAAACAGGTTAGGACTAAGATTAGAAATTCATTCCCAAACATAACACGGGACAAGTATTAACTAAGTACATGAACCCCATTAATCATTGTAATGGATGTCTTTAAAAACGACTTAATAACTCAACAATTTAACTACTAGAGATTTTGTTAACGAATGTTGTCCAAGAAGTACTTACTAACCGATCTAATTATGAAAATTTTGGAGTTTTCGATATATTGATCGTACCTGTTTCAATATACTGAAAAAGAAATTACTTCGAATAAAATATACTTAAGGAGCATCTGGGGAGACTGGTTAACTACATTCAAATGACAAAAAAGCATAAATTAATGGGTGCAAAACTCAAAGATCTTTGGGAATGAGAACGAAGAGAGGGTCAAGCCAATCAGATTGGGGATTCCTCACATGGAGAGATGTGCAATTGACTTTGTCCAAAACACATGGGGCCTTGTGCAATGGCCCAATGCAACCTGCCAACAGATACGACTCGCAGTTTCTTGCTGTTTCCTTGGGAATTGTTTCATTTTTCTGATAAAACAGAGTACCACTTTTTGAGAAACTGAGAAGTCAAACCAGCCACACTGACAAACCTCACAAAAATGACATTTTGGACCGATCTAGCTAGGAAAGTATGATAAAAAACACATAATTACTCGCATGTCAAAGAACAAAACTCAGGGAACATATATTTATTAAGCACATGAAATACTCTTGATTGTTGAATAAGTATTGAAACTGCTTATTGAATTATTCAGCCAATTCTAATGTACATAATACAAACATATTTTGTTGATTCCACAGTAAAAAATATTCTCATTTTCATCTATCAAATATATTTTCAAGAAAATTGAAAATGGTTTTCAAGTTTATGATCAAGATGAAAATTAAGTACATGTTTTTCAAACTAAACAAACCCAAATTATTTCGATTTACAATTTGTCTGATATGAAGACTTACTAATAAGCTAAATCAATCATAGAACCTTACGATCGGTACACCAAATCGATGCTTATTCTCACCATAGTCATTTTTTTGTTGCACATTAATTAACCAGCTAAAACGATCAAACTTTTTGATCTTACAAAAGATTCACCCCCAAAGATCCATGTCAGAAATCAAGTCATCCCAATCCCACTGGTTGCTGCTTTGCATCAACCCAGCTGACCCATCAAAGTGCAAGTCCATGCCCAGATCTCCAAGAACATGCCCATCTTCCTTAAAGAATGGAGGATTGCTATTATTGAATTCATCCTGATCAACATACAACATTGGTGGTGGTGATGATGGTGAAGTGCCAATTTCTTCTGGCATTGGGGGATGCACCGAGCTTGGAGCTTCAAGAGCAGCTGTTGGTGGCTGTGTCCAGCCTCCTGATGATGCGGCGAAGTCCCTTGGTTGGCTGGGACTGAGGATTTCGATGCCATCCTTTGTGTTCAAGTCGTTATCTTCATGGTTTCTGATCTGTTGGGGATCCAGCTTCTTGCTAAGGTGACAGTTCCAGTAGTTCTTCACATCGTTGGCGGTCCTCCCGGGAAGCCTACCCGCGATCAGCGACCACCTGAAAACCTAAAACCATTTCTCTGACTGATGGCAAAGTAAATTCCTGTTATATCGTCATAGCTAAAAAAACATCTAATCAAAGTCCTAGGGCCAGTCTTAAAATCTAATCAAAGTCCTTTTATATCCACATTCTTACTGATTTCCTGCTTATACTTTTGTGCCTTGTTTCAGTCTGTGTGGCTCGTTCATATCCTAAAGGCTACTTGAACATGCAAGCATCATGCCGGAAAATAGGACAGAGTTCATGCTTGATAAACATTAATTACAAGCTCTAATGTGACATGCTGCAACGAAAACGAGATGAAAGCAAAAGCATACTGAAATGTGAACATCTGGAACCTATATAACATATTGGCATATAACCGTCCTGAAATTTGATGTTCACGTTCAGAAAACAGTTTTTGAATTGATTGGAGATATATCTCTGTTGCTCGCCTGTTGCCCAGGAGATTGTGGAGCTTGATGATGAGATCCACTTCCTCCTCGGCGAAACTACCTCTCTTTATGTTTGGCCGGAGGTAGTTTAGCCATCTCAGTCGACAGCTCTTCCGGCACCGGTTCAGTCCTTAAACAAAACAGCCATAAAAGCAGAAGCTGGTAAATTCAGTGCTAACTTCTGTTAATTGCAACTAGAACATCAGTCACAATTTCGGGATGTATTTGCGGAAGTTTAACATGAAGTCTCCGCATGAAGCATACTGTTCTTAGCAACAAATGAAAGATACCTGCAGTTTTAAATCCTAACAAAATCTGCAACATTCTAAGGCATCCTTCCTGGATAATGCATGAACAAAGCTACTTTCTTGTGGTGCAAATACGAGAGTTTGGAGTCTCCATATGACCATTGTGTGGCCTCTCACATTATCACAATAGATTGCGACACAAACATGTTGCAGATCAATACGGGTTTACGATCTCAACTTGACTGTAGCTTGATGATTTTGAGGTTTGTGTGCAGAGTCGGACTAGAAGAATATAGCCATACATGTTCAACGTAAATGCCTCGATCATAATTCAACTTTTGACCGTTCTTGGACCTTCCCCAACCTAATTTTTACACCAAATCAAATTTTTTTTGGGAATATCCCTCCTTGACTGTGAGTTGAGACCGGTATTATTTCAAGAAACTTAAGAAGAATCATCTTGATATCATTACATGAGAAACGAATGCTTGGTGATATGAATGGTTGCAAAGAAAGGCAAGTTTTTCTGCAGTTTATTTTAAAATGTACTCTCACTTCTACACATTTTAAGGAAAGAAATGAAATCATGTAGCGCAAAAGATAGGTACCTGAGTAAAACAACATTATTCACAAGAAAGGCATTCCAAACAATAGTCAAGAGTTGAATTCAACCTCCTATAGCAGTGATTTTGCATTCTAGCATAGCATAGTATAGACCATATATATATTTGCTATTATTACCTGCTAATTGGGGGACTCTATGCCACTTCCCTTCACCGTATTGCTCTATACACCTCATGAGCAAATGGTCTTCCTCCTCAGTCCATGCCACACCACCCATCTCTCTCACACCCTTAAACCAGAGACTTCAATGGATATTATATACCGACAAGTGAATCGGTGTGTCGTTTTGTACTTGGTTCACAATGCCAACATACATCATTTAGTTTAGAGTGATGCTATAGCCATTTGGTCACTGGCCCATCTGCTTTCTATGGGTTCCATGGCTTTACATGAGTTTAAGATCAGGCAGCTTTACTCAGCTGGACTGATCAACACAAGCACAAGTTGACATCAACCCTGTGGTCCTCCCTTTTTGAAGTTCTTTGATGCCAGCCCTACATTGATTCAATTACTCGATATTTTTACACGAGGATGCTAGGAATAGCACCCTGGGAAGAGTAGAGAGAACACATAAGGATCAGGTATCTCGGTCGATACGGCCAATGCCCACAGAGAGCACAAATATCAGGAACTCACTAGTACAATCCGAAGAGATTACAGCAACGTTATGCACCTAATCTGCTGCAATGTGTGTTCTCTCTAAATTGAGTCCTGTCATTTAGGGATAATCAGATTGCAAGCCATTCAACAATGAACTCAAGCTCAAGACATTCAACAGACAGAATGCTCATAGTCAAGGTATGGTAAGTGTCACAGAATGTCCTTCACTTACTCACCTCATTCTCCTGAGAAATCTATACTACGACAGTGTTTTCTCTGATGATATGTAGACAGAAGTTACATTAACGCATATCTTAGAATTGAGCGATCATATCTTGCAGCATATTTCTGTGCAAAATTTTATGATATCAGTTGACATTATCCTTGTGTGAACCTTGATCACATAAAGCAATTGTAATGTGCCGCCAACAACAATGATGCATATAGCTAGTTCAAGATTTCGGCTTTTGCTCATGGTCATCCTTTGGACTTGGAGATGAAGCCAAGAAGAAATTGCCCAAAGAGCAGGTCCCAGCATTCTTTTCACGTATTGTGCTGTTAAACATCCAAATAAAGCAGTACAGAATTCTGATGCCACTGAGATGTTCCAATTCATCCTCTTACAAGGACACCGTACGCAAAGATTTCTTGGTCTTCTTCATTTTCAGTGGCCAAATTAATATGCATTCTGACGATCCTTATCGATCAGCGGGCACCAGATGGTGCTGCCTGAATGACAAATGAGTAGCATAAAGTCGACAATTACGGGCATCAGGATTTCTGGTACATACCTATTTTAACAAATCTAACAAATCTCGCGACTCGCCGTTAACAAAGTCTAAACATTAGTTATCAATTAGTATCACGCTTTACGCGCTCTTCACGACCTGGTTTTGCTCGCCACCTTTTAGTGTCAAATTAGTCGATTCATAAGCTTTTTTACTCCTTTTGTTGGAGCAGTGAAATACCATTGAATTGGGAATGGCTTCAATGATTGATTTAGGTCCAAAGTGACCTCATTTATTTTTCTCTTTTTCCTGGATGACATATATTGTCTTGCCTAAACGGGGCAAATGTACTGAATCTCCACGTGATACTGCACTTATCACTGATGGCCCTTCCTTCACAACCCAAGGGGAGAAATGATGATGAATCTAAAAAGGGGGAGATGGTGACTTTCATTGCTTGTCCTGCTTCCCAAAATGCCTTTGCAATCGATATTATGTGGGGGACCACACGATGGGAGTGTGGGTTTGGGACTAAAAACTGACGGGAAGGTTTTAAATGTTAGCATCATTAATAACAAGTTCGGGCTTACTTTGCTTCTTGATAGCTACTATTCATATATGCTTTCGAAATGTGCAACAAGCTAATCTCTCTCTCTCTCTCTCTCTAAACATGCTTGGAAGATCAAATGAAAGAGAGATGTTATGATAACAAGACTGATGTAAAAAATCAAGAGGAAATGAAACTTCTTAACAAAAGTTTCAATTAATTAATTTTAGGTTACCGATTTGAGCGCAGTATAATAGCAGTTTGTATCTTCAGTTTTCTGCTTTCTTCTCCAAACCCTTCTCTTTCCCCAAAAACTAACTTGAAAATTCTTCTTTCCTTCTGTTAAACTAACTTTAAGACTGGAAGAGGGAAGATTGAGTTGATCTTCCACGCATGCAAACGAGTCTAAGCCACTACAGTAGTAGCATTCGGAAGGGGTGCAATCCCCATTTTCTGTATTTGCATTTTGCGTAGAAAATTAACCAGGTCGTCTGACATAAGTAAGCACGCTGTTAGAGGTTATCAATATAAAAAACGTGGACCGTTATTGACGATTGTGAGAATTGTTATCGATATTAATATACATAGATGACCACGAGCTATTTTGTCGACACACGATAGTGCATGGCTGACGATTATCATGACAGAATTGGTCGATAAGTATGCCGATTAAAAGGAAATCGAAATATTACGGATTGAGACACTAAGTGAAGAGTGGATGTCTATAAGAGGTGCCAAAATGCAGTTACGATATTCAAATTTAATCACCAGTAGGTATGGCAATGAAATCCAGCAAATCGTGGGAGAAGAAATGGAGTTAACTCAACAACAAAGTGCAAGAGATCGAGGCGTAAGTTTTTAGGGAACAATCACCTGGAGATCATATCATGGTGACGTAAGAATATGGAACTAAGATTCTTGAAGACATGAAAGCATGGCTAAAACTGTTTTTGCTCTTAGGCTGTTACGTTGTGAACACTATAAATACTAGTGTTCATCCACTAGATAGCCCCCAAGTACAAACAAACAAACTTGTTATCTTTCAAGTCCTCGGTAAAATTCCGACGTCGCATATTTACGTTCTTAGACTTTGTCCTCGATTAAATTTCAACGAGGTTGTACACGTTCAGTTCCATTTGAAGTGAAGTTATCAATTTCCTTGTCTACTTGTGATATTTTCTGTTCGAAATCGCCACAGAACTTGTCCCTTCTAATAAAAACCGAAGAACGATTTCGGTGAAAGGTATTTTGTAACAGAGTCGAATTTCGGCGAAACACTTTATATCACTCGACAAATAGTGTGCCCAAAGTTTTGCACAATGTCTCATGCTCGGTAGAATTTAGTGATCTTCCGAGTCTAGGACCACCAAGCTTTCTATGCTTCGTCTCTGAATGAACGATGACGAGATCGCTATCTTGTCATCACCGACGAGCTCCATCCATCAATTGCCACGTCAAGGAGCTTGGATAATGCTTGTGAGATGTTAAGCTCGAGCTGTACAGACGACAAGGAGCTCGAAGTCAATCATCACCACTTACAAGGAGGAGAGAGGGAGAGAGAGTCAGTCGCTTTGCAGGCTGATGCCACTAGTTTCATTTGAGAGTGGTTTGTCAAGTTGTTGAAGCTTGATGCCTTTAGCTTCGTTGTTGCCCGTGAGCCTGGTTGTTAAGGACCTCATGGGGGCATTGAGAGAGAGAGAGAGAGGCTTTGGGGTTTTTCTCTTGTACGAACTCTACTTATTATGCCAATACGTAAAAAATAAAAAAATAAAGATCTTGTTAACGAGTATCCCAGGGCACTTGCTAAGCATACTTAATTTGGAGTGTTTCAATATTCAAAGTATTAGGGACAATCAATATATTGAAATCTGTAATTTCTTTCGATTAGTTTCTTAACAAGAGTTATTGGGATACTCGTTGATAAAATTCTAAAAATAGAACTAGTCATCATCTTCTATCCCAACACTGTGAAACTTTTCAAATGTTTATAAAATCCTTATCCATTTGATGCAGTTAAAACTAGACCAACACATCATTGTTTGCTCATTAGAATGAACTGATGAATGAACACAAACATAAGCTGTCAACAACTTTTCCCCCTCCCTTTGCATAAAAGGGTTTTCAAGCATATGACAACTTAGCCAACTCCGAGCCTCTTGGGCTCTTTGAAGTCACAGGTCAATGTTTTGTCTTTGGTCTGAACTGAAGAAGAGATGCTTCATTACTTATGAAACAGTAGACATTACAATTCATGGGGGCCTCTCCTCGACATCAGAAATCAGGAAAAGAAACAGAGAGGATGGAGGATCTAAGTCCCTATATATTCACATCCCCTTGGTATAAAAAGAAGCTGTCCGATGGGCACGCTCAGTAGCATCTTTGCAAATTAGATTGAATTTCAAAGACTGGAAAGGGACAGCTTCTCGGCATATATTTGCAACTAAGCTGCATGTTCCAATTTTTAGCTCTACTCTGATCAGTGATGTCTCTAAGAGCCACTTGAAAATCCATCTCAATGCACGCTTTGTTGCTCCTTTTCAAACTAAATGCCAAACCTTGACAGCTAGAGCTTCAGTTTCTTCAGCATCCCCAGTTCTGATCAACTCCTCTGTGCCTCCTAACAATTTGCTTTAAAAAATATCTAATGAGAACCCCAATAGCAGCCACCTTATTCTCAGCTTAAAAAAAAATCATCACAGTTGACTTTAATCTTATCACCTTTAGGTTTGCACCATTTCCTTGCAGTATGGCTCTCACCAGGGACAGTTGATTGCCTTCTGTTGTTCAATTTTGCACGCACACACTCCTCATTACCTTGCAGGATTCCACTTATGATTGGGAAAATGTCACAAATGGTTAGGATTCTTCCACTTAAAAACAGCCTCGTTCCTTCCCTTCCACAACCAATAGCAGAAAGCCACTTTTCTCAGCAACTCCTTTTTACCAGTTTTTGATAAGGATTAATCCTTAATGATGTCAGCTAGCCATTGATCAAAAGCAGAAACTGATTCTTTGTCCACTCTTAGCCCCAAGCTCGCAAACCAAATGCATCACTATTCACAGGACAGAATCATATCCTCTATGGATCCCAAATCATGACAGAAAACACAAACAGGGGACAGCTCAATCCTTCCCTTTTGTAAATTCTATGCAGAAGCTACAGCCGTAGAGCACAACCTCCACAAGAAGAGTTCGACTTCAGGTGGACAGTCTTATGCTCCCAATAATTTTCCAAACTCTACTGTCAATGGTGTCATAACGGGAGGGCTTATGGAGGGGCTTAAGCATGGCCACATGATAAGCGGACTTGACAGATCTCACCATTTCTTTTCCAGGGTCAGATCATTCGGTCTTCAATTCTGCTCCAGAGAATCTGATTTTGTAAAACCAGGTCTTGTTCTTCCCTACTCAGATGATCTCTAATAGGATCCAGGTTCCAATATTCAAGACCATTTTCAAGCAATAGATCAACTGTGAGGCTTCTACCGACTTGCTCAAGATCTGTATGATGCAGTTTATGATAAAAGCTGTTCTTCAAGCAGCTATCTTCCAAAACTTTAACAGGCTTGCCATCAGATATCTACCACAAAGCCCCTTCTTTTATGAGACCTCTCCCTTCAAGAATGCTTCTCCAACCCCAGGACATCCTCCCTTCCCTTCTAACCTCCATTAAGCTGCAATTTGAGAAATACATACTCTTCAAAACCTGGACCCAAATTTTAGAGGGACTCTGCTGTATACTCCAAGCTAACTTGGCAAGGAGGGCCTAATTGAACAGAGACAAGCTTAACCCCAAACCACCCTCAGATTTTGCTACATTGAGTCTCTACCAGCTCTTCCAGTGCACCCTAGATTCATAATTTAGCTGTCCCCACCAAAATTTAGCAATATTTCCAACCGCCTCATCAAACCAATTTTTGGCTAAATTGAAACAAGCCACTGAATATGTAGGTCTGACATAAGAAGCAGTTTTTAACAAGAATTTAAAATTGCATCCTTTTTCATAATTCTCTCTTTGACAAAATTAAGGGCCTCATACTTCGACCTCCCCAACAAAGTAGGAAGCCCAAGATACTTTCCAAGGTTTTGGATAATGTTGATCCCCAACACTTTGCTCACTGCTTGTCTCCTGGCTTCATCTTCATTAGGACTGAAAAATATGCTAGACTTCTGCAAGTTAACCAGCTGCCCTGATGCATGACAAAACCAGCTAGGATCTTCTTCAAAGCTCTACAATTTCCTTTAGCTGTCTTAAGAAAGAACAGAGAATCATCCGCAAATAACAAATAAGTAAGAATAGGGCACTCTCTTCAGTTTAATACCCTGCAATCCCCCTTCCCGTTATTTAGCAAATGGGACAACACATCAGCAATAATTAAGAAACATTAGGAGATAAGAGGGTGGTCCCCTTGCCTCTAACCCCAGGAGGGGCTAATCGTTTGCACTCTTCCCATTTATCAATAGCTCATGTGGCACTGACTTCACACAAGCCATTATCCAGCCCACCCCGCACTCTATCAAACCCCACGTTTAACTTTACTAGTTCAAGAAAATCTCACTCAACACAATCATATGCTTTGTTCATGCCAAGCTTGATAGAGCACCATCCTTCCTTTCCTTTCTTCCTAAGCTTCATATGATGAAAATGCCTCATGAGCTGCAATTACGTCTTTTATGACTCTGCCTTCCAAGAAAGCATTTTGAAAAGGAGTAACGATGTTGGGCAAGAAACGTTTTAAGTCGATTAACAAGAATCTTAGAATATATTCTGCATGAAATTGCAAAGATTAATCGGTCTATATTGGGAAATTTCCTCAGGAGAAGCAACTCAAGGGATAAGGAAAATAAGAGTATTATTAAGGGAATTAGGGATATCACCTAAACAAAAAAAGGTTGTGACTGCGTGAGTGGTAGAAGATCCAATTGCAGCCCAACATTTCTGATAAAAGATTCCATGAAAACCATCCGGACCATGAGCTTTAAGAATTAAGAGGACTCCTTTGAAACACTGCAGTCCTCACCTCTTCCTCAGCAACTTCAGAAATTAGAGAATGAATTATTTCTTGACTGTACATAAGCAACTACACTTTCCCACCCTATACTCCCTTCTAAGGTAAACAAACTTCCATTGAAACTATGGAAAGCAAGCATGTATCTCTCCCATCCTCCATCCATCTAGTTGCATCCCCCTTTACTCTCAAATTTTTATTTTGAGCCCTCCTTTGCAAAGTGGTCTAATGAAAAAAACCTTGTGCTCTTGTCCCCATATTTTTTTTTTGGGTCGAATTCTTGTCCGCATATGATAGCACCATATCTGCTTCCTCCTCCTCAACACTCGCCAGCACTAGATGGTTCTCCATTGAATCAGGCGTCATATCTACGGGAGATGTATCAGAATCTTCTGCAGCCATGCCTAAATTCCAGAACAAGTGATAGACAGATTAATCAGTATATGACTATGATAAGGAATGTGACGGTAATAGAGTCTATGACATAACGTGGCAAACTACAGAACAAGTGACCATGAATTGAACGGGAAAATGAAAAATGAGACGAACGAAAGAAAGCTTGGGAAAATGATCGAATTCGTCGCCACGAAGTGCAGAGAATGAGCAAATGAGGACAGTCACGGTAATGGAATAGAGTAATCAGATATGATGAAAAGCTGAGAAGGTGTGAGACATGATCGAGGACACAAAACGAGAACGAAGGGGCAAAATAACAGCTCACAAGTCCATGCTGAAAGCGCATGTCTCCTGTTCTTTTCCCGGTGACTGATTTTACAACACCAAGAATCACAACAACTCGTAAAAAAATAAAATATTTTTTGGGGGGCATCCCATAAAATAAATCATAAGCTGAAAAACATAAAAGCTTCCAATTTTCAAGATTGTTCTTTTATTACCTCCTCTGCAAAACCGAAGACTTGGGTGTTCGTGTCACTCCGTCCCTAACATTCCATTCCCCTTCTGCAGTTCCGAATCCTGAGAATTTCCCCAAATGCAATCCCAAATCCTCACGACTTGCTTCACCAATTACCCTTTGTCCAATTCAATCGCGAAACCCCAGTTCCTGTATTCAGCCTCTCGGTTCAAGATCAAACCCTATCTCGCCCTCCCCCTCTGCTCCCAAAACCGACCCAGTTCTGCCCAAGCGGCCACCGCCAAGACGACCCATTTCGTCTCTGATTCGAGCAAACCCAGTATCGAAGACTCGCAGAGCGAATGGAACGTGCAAGTTGGGAGCCCCAAGATCGCTCCTTCATCGCCTGTTGCCAAGTTGAGCTTGAGTGATCAGGCTTTCTTTCTCTTGGCCTTCATTGCCTGCACTGTAATTGTTCTTTCTTTTCATTTTCTGGGTCCTTTTGTTTTGTGCTTTTTCAGCTGAAAGTTTTGAAATTTATTGCACCACTGCGGTGTTTTTCGGCTGAGGTTTGTGTTGGTGTGGGGAGTGGGGTTGATTTATGCATGAACTGAAATTGGGATTTGATTCGTGCAGACTTCTGTCGCGTTCACGAGCCTTGTCGTCGCCGCTGTTCCAACATTATATGTAAGATAGACTGATCGCGTTCAAGATTATGTGCTGTTTATATGCGGTTATGTTTGGCTGAGTTTGTGTATGAATTGTTCTGCTTTGATCTAAATTCGACCACTCAATTCATAAAGCATACGCAGATTGGATTCTTGGGAATGTTCTGGATCAATGATTTTCTTGAAGTTTTTTGATGGATGAAAATTAGAACGTTGTATAGTAATTGCTTCTAATGCAATGAAGAATCTAGTTAGAAGGTATCTGTTCTATGTTTAAATCTTGCATAATTTTTGCAATTCTTTGTTATCATACCTTCACAGGCCATGGGAAGAGCTGCAACATCTCTTTCCAAACTGGCAGATACAGCACGGGAGGAGCTACCAAGCACAATGGCTGCTATTAGGCTCTCTGGCATGGAGATCAGTGATCTTACACTAGAGTTGAGCGATTTGAGGTGATGTGTGCTCTTATTTGAGCTGAAGTCATGTTGATATAAGTAGCTAATCCATACACCGAATAATGCATGCAAACTAGTTTCATCAACAATTAAGGGAATGCCATGCATTTAGCTTCTCATTAGCCAGTCATGTGCACATCAAGTGATGTTTTTGAATTCTCGAACTTTGTCTGGACTTTTGTGGTGAGGTTCATGCTGAGGCATCCTTATTAAAACAGAAAGAAAATGACATTTGAAGCGCTTCAAGCAGAAGAATGAATAGAGTGCTGAATTTGTGCGAGATAAAGTCTTCAGTAGTCAAGATGTTATATGCTAAATGTTAATATAAGTCATGCTTTGATAGAGTCGAGTGAATGTGTATCCTGCCTGATGAATGATCAGTGCAAAGTGTTCTTTTAAGATCAGCAATCTTGAGTATAGGTTTATGTAGACAAACATTCAAAACATGTAATTCGTCTCCTCTCATAAGCTGATTTTTGTTATTGATATGACATAGGTCAATTGAAGGTAATTTGTCCGTTTTCTTTGTCCTCTTTTTAGCCAGGAGATAGCTGATGGAGTGAACAAATCAGCTCAAGCTGTGCAGGCTGCAGAAGCTGGAATTAGACAGATCGGTTCCCTTGCTCGAGAACAGACCATCTGTATGTCTTAAGCCTTCCTTTTCATTTGATGCCCCTCCACGACCTCCTAAATTAACTTTGTGATCGCAATGTCTGATTTATATTTACCAAATGCTTAATGCAGCAATGATTCAAGAGAGAGCTAGCCTGCCAATTATCTCGTTACAACCTGTTGTTGCAGGGGCTGCGAAGAAAACATCTCATGCCGTTGGTCAGGCAACAAAATCGTTCATCAATATGATTTCTCGAGGTGAGTTCAGCCCAGAGAGCGAGGATGAGAGTGGAATTGATAGGGTAGAAATATAAGCTTACTAATTATCCACAAAGTGTATAGATAATCAACATCGGTGAAGATGGTCTGTTTTGTTGGTTGAAGATACAGCAGTCTCCTAGAATGTCTCTCCTGTTATGCTCAGTGGGAATAATGCCAAGTACAGATTGTTTTCTTCAAGCTCGTTTTGCATCTCCATTGCTCTAAAGAAAAGGTGATAGCTCCATTCACTGCTTACATATTCATGACAGTAGTAGCCAGAGATATTCCTGTTCGCCATTCTTTGGATACTCAAAGTATGCGTAGAAAACTATCCTTTGGCTTTATGCATGGCATTTTTTTTATTTTACGTGCTTGAAAAGGTTAGTGTATTCGGATATTGTAGTTTAGGCAAGCTACTCAGGAATTATAAGAAATCAGTCCAATCTCTCTCTGTGACATTGGTTCTTCAGATCATCCTCAAAGTCAGATGACTTGATATCTCCTCATCATCGGAGAAGAAGTGATATCATAAAAGTATATCAACTGTCTGTGATCAGAATATATGGTCTGTAAAGGCATAATTCTACTTGAAGCATCTGATTGAAGGGATAGGGGAGATCAGGAAAGGAAAATGTGTCGACAGGAAGATTATATTTTCAGATCCAATGCTTCTATAATTTGTCGAATACGGTGGAAGTTTCAAGTCCAAATTATGGATGATATTTTACTACTTAAATGAAAATATCACCCAAATGAATCCCGTCATCCCCTTTGCTGCCATTACCTAGCCATCTATCTTGTCTCTCATACAAAGTAACATTAACCCTCAATTCAATAATATATTGCACAAGAGGATCGCACTCCATTAGTTTCTAAGATCGCAACTGTCTGGGTGATTATTTGCTTGCTTATGACTTGCTAGAGAGAAATGGATGCATGTCATCCAACATTGTTGTTTAGTTAAACTGGTTTGCTACTCGGAAAGATATCCATTTCTGTGCCTTGTGGTTGGTACTGTGAAGTTGGGCACACCATTGCACTGTAAATTGAAGTCAGCTTCTTCATGTCTATAGACACTTTTTGTTGGTCGTTCCTCTCATTTGTCTCTGCAATTTTCTTGTTCCCGTCTTTGAATATCATGTAGAGGATCATTTGAATGATGCCAAACAAGATTCCCAGTGTATTTGGTAGCTGAAACACCCAATTGAAGCCCCATTTTAATTTCAAAGTCAGCAAAAAACAAATATGAGAGAGAGAGAGAGAGAGAGAGAGAGAGAGAGAGAGAGGTGTTGTATGTATTTAAAAATAAAAAAAAGGAAATGGAAGACGGATAGATAGCATCAATCATATAATATAAATGAATAGAGGATGGAGGTCTTGCCGAAGTGTTTATTGCTTAAACGGGCATGGTACTGGAATTCAACTTAACATGCGTACGAGAAAACTCAGGAGCGATCTCAGGAACGATAACCACGCAGGAAAAGATTGGACATTCACAGTGCAATGCAAGGTTTGCTGGTGCATCCATGTGAGTTTGCAAATCTAAGTCAGGCAGGTCTATGCAAATCGGGCATTGTACAAGGAATCACTACAAAGTTGCATGTACAATGAAAAGCATTAGAGTCGAATGATTGAGAGAGCTAAATGTTACTTACAGCTATGAACATGTCCTTGAGGAAGAGTACATAGAAGAAACAGGTGGTGGCACAGAGGGTAAGGAAGGACAGGGAATGGCATGTACTCCACACTTTTGGTGTTTATCACCCTCCTCTGCACAGAACACAAAATTACACACGGTTGAAAATCTCTTGTTTTGGACTGGTTTTGTTGTCATGGCATATCCAAAGTACTGCCTCTCTACAATTGCTGAATAAAATGAAGGAGTACCATGATGCTCAAAGGCGTGGCAAACACGGCGAGACTGAAGGCCGCACAGATCCATCTGACGGTGTTGACGCGCTGTCGACCCTTGAGAAGAAAGATGGTCAGCGCCATCATCATTCCGAAACCTCCTACGTTGAACTACAGCAGCAACCTTGCGGGCACATCTGCGCAGATTGGTGATTTACACAAATTTCCTTCAGATTTCACTGTGGATCGGAGAGAGGTTGTACTCTTATAATAGTATTTCATTTGTATTCCCTGTCTTATGAATTTCCTAAGAATTGTTTTCCTTTTTCTTTTTGCATATCTTCTTAAATGTAGGAATTAACCTAAATTTTGAAGAAGGGCTAACATCTGAGGCTGTCAGAAAGTTTTAGTTATTCGGCGAATATGTGAAAACACAAACTTTACGCCAAAGACGTGTGAATAACCATTAAGACAATCTCAATCTTGTTTGTAAAGACAAAAGAGAGAACAAATTTACACGAGAGTTTTCCCCGCTAAATCCAGCTTTGAGAGCCTGTCATTATTTGCTTAGACAGTCAAAATTGGCAAGCTAATGAACAACACCTGGGTAAGATAACAAAGGGACACTAGTTTGCCACATATTAAAGACCAAAGGCAGTCACAGAGAGAGAGAGAGAGAGAGAGAGAGAGAGAGAGAGAGAGAGAGAGAGAGAGAGAGAGAGAGAGAGAGAGAGAGAGAGAGAGAGAGAGCTTCTCTTGGCATAGATCAAGAAGAGAAGAAGATAGATGAGTTTAATGACGATGCCAATCGCATGGAAGCTGATGATCATAGTGGCATGAGTCTTAAGGACTCCATAGGACAAGAGCAATGATGCACTCGAAAGTGCCACCACATAAGGTTATCGACTGATGCCCATCCGACGATTTTTTCTTGTAGACTGTGTAAAATGTCGGGCTGCCAAAAACAAAAAACAAAGATTTAGGGAAAATTCCCAAATTCATGCTAAGATACTTAAAATGGTCAAATGACCGAAGGGACCGAAATGAAGGGTTGGAGGAGGTCTTACATTGGTGCCAAGAACACCAAAAAGGACAGGATGTTGCCTACCTAGATTCAACAGAAAAGGAGAGGAGAGTTGTTTGAACCGTTCATAGAACTCGAATAGATACTAGAAATGATTCCCGTGTTTCGAATAAGTTCATATTCGTCGGATCTTGTCGACCCAAATGAGACCACACTTAACATATATTCAACTATATTACGATGGACTCATTTTATTTTTTGACTGGATAAGAAGAAAATTTCATAGGATTGGTATAATCATACAAGACAGCACATATAAAATATCAGTTACCCTGATCATTCACGTTCATGGACTTGGGGAAAAGTACCAAAAAAATCTTAAACCTTTTGCATTGGTACCAATTTAGTCCTAAACTTTTTTTTGGTACCAATTCAGTCCTAAACCTTTTTGCATTGGTGCCCTCACCAGCAGCTGGGCGAGGCTCGACCTCGCTGGATTTGGCGAGATCGGGCCTCTCCCAGCGTGAGGCCGCCCTCGCCAGTGGCCGGCAAGGTTGACCTCGCCGGCCTTTGGCCGGTCGCCGGTCCAGCAACCGGCTGGAGGAAGGAGGGAGGGGAGGGGGCAAAAAAAAGAAAAAAAAGAAAAAATTAATAAAAATTCAAAAAAATATTAAAATATTATTAAAGTTGTCCACGTCAGCGCCGATGACCGGCCGCTAGCCGACCGGCGTCCACGTCAGCAAAATCCAGCCAAAATTGACCGAAATGACTGAATTGGCACAAAAACAAAAGATTTATGACTGAATTTGCACCAATATAAAAAGTTTAGGACTGAATTGACACCATAAAAAAATTTAGGACTGAATTGGCACCAATACAAAAGGTTTAGGATTAAATTGGCACAAAAAAAAGGTTTAAGACTAAATTAGCACAAATGCAAAAGATTTTGGACTTTTTTGGCACTTTTCCCCATGGACTTGTATTGCGCAATCGATGTTATATGTGAAATGTTTCTCTTACTCTCAATTTAACCTAATAAAGATTGACGAGAATGCTGTGCATCAAGAATGAAATTCATCTTGAACATATTTGTGTGTACCTAGGAGACCAAATATGAAAGGCGGCTGTTGAGCATTCAAGAACGCCATATGATATTGAAGCGAAGTATTTAGACAAATGTTAATATACCCCAACTGAAAATTTTCTTTCTTTCTTTCTTTTTTGTGGGGGGTGGTGTTTGATGAAGCTCTACGCGGCCTTACGACGAATTGTTTAACACTAACAAGAACTTTGAGTTTAAATGGTTGTTCATGGAGATGCTTATATAGGCGCAAAAGTGAGGGTTCGAGTGTTCAGGCAGTGTGGTTTAAAGATCGTGGTGATTCTTAGTTAGTAGCTAATGAGAGACAGAGTTTGAGTGCCTGACGTCAAGAAAATTACGTGCTTGGTTGCTATTTGCCATTGCTGGCAGCCTGCCACATACAACCATGTCATGAAAATTATATCATCTCAATTGACTTTGATGATGATAACTAACATGGTGAAAGAGAATATCAATGTAGTCTGACAAAAAAAGAAGAAGAATATATCAATGTAGGTTTGATGAATGTCATGTTGAATATGCACGAGAAGACCTCTATGATAAACAAATTTTACTTGATGCGACATCCATTTCTCTTAAATATGGGCGAATGGGTGTCATTGCCTAGGCTTATCAATTAATTCATTGAGATCGTTAATCAATTGAGTTTGGTTGAAATTGACTTTGATGATCAGATATGTGCTTTGATTCTATTATCTTCAATGCAAGTTGCAATATTACTGTTATTGCTATTTGAATTTCTTCTGGGTCAAGAAGAAGTTTGATGGTTAATGAGATTTGCAATGTGATTTTGAGTTAGGACATCCATGAAAGAGAATCTGGTGAACTTGTGGATGGTGCTTTAGTAGGTGAAAAGGTAGAGGAAGAACTAGTACTTGTATTAGCAAAAGTAATGTGAATCTTATAGACATTTAGCTTTCACGAGGGGCTTTCGGCCTCTAAAACCCCTTGAGAAAATGCTAGGGTGTTTGGCAAGTCTTCTCAAGGGGCTTTCGGCCAAATGCTGGCCTTGGGGAAGCTGAAAGCCCAATCCTCATTGGGCTTTCAACATTTGGCCGAATGCTGAAACTAGTTTTTTTCTTCCCAAAGTACCCTCACCAATTCTTTAATTTTTCAGTTTTTCCCCTAGTTGTGATTGTTCATTTTCTTTGCACGAGGGCGGCTGACAAGGCTAGATTAGGTCGGCGAGAGGTTGGCAAGTGGTTGGCGAGGTCGTGCAAC